AATAGTAATATAGAAGTAATATTAAAGATAGTACTGAAAACTTTAAGGCATTTACGCAGCGAACACCACAGACTTGCCTGCCCTATCTGCTAGATATAGAGCTTTCATGTATTTTATCTGGCACTCTATGCAAGCATATAGAGTGGCTACTCAGATGCCTACTTATATTTGCACAGCGTGCGTATGTGTGAGGGGTTAAAACGTGTGCATGAAAAATATACATGAATTAAAAGCACCTTTCTCTGAGTACTCTTGGGTTTTGGTGTTCGTTGTTCTGTTATAGGTCGTCTTCTGTTATCGGTTCTCGTCGCATTTCTCTGCTGTCTTCTTCTCTTATTGGTCGTGACTTATTTTTCAGTTTTTGGTCCTCGTCGCAGTTCTCTTGTTGTCAGTTCTTCTGTAATCGTTCCTGGTCTCAGTTGTTCTGTTATCGGTTCTCGTCTTCATTCTTCTGTCATCAGTCCTCGTCTATGTTATTCTGTTATCGGTCCTCTTCTATTTTTCTGTTATCAATCCTCGTCTCCGCTGTCTTGTTGTCAGTTCTTCTGTTATCGGTCCCTGTCCTCGTTTTTCTCCTTTCTTCTGTCATCGGTTCTCGTCTCTTTTTTAAGTAATCAGTCCTGGTCGCCGTTTTCTAGTTGTCAATTCTGTTTTCGGTTCCCGTCTCTGTTATCGATCCCCGTCTTCATTCGTCTGTATTCAGTCCTCGTCTATGTTATTCTGTTATCGGTCCTCTTCTATTTTTCTGTTATCAATCCTCGTCTCCGTTGTCTTGTTGTCAGTTCTTGTCTTGTCTTATGTTTTCCTCTTCATTATCAGTCCTGGTCTCCGTTTTCTTGTTGTCAGTTCTTCTGTTATCGGTCCCTGTCCTGTTATTGGTTCTTGTCTTGTCTTATGTTTTCCTCTTCATAATCAGTCCTGGTCTCCGTTGTCTTGTTGTTATCTTGTTGTTCTGTTATCGGTTCTTGTCTACATTTTTTCTCCGTTCTTCTGTCATCGGTTTTCGTCTCTTTTCTTCTGCAATCAGTCGTGGTCTCCGTTTTCTTTTTGTCAGTTCTTCTGTTATCGGTCCCTGTCTCTGTTCTTCTGTTAGCAGTCTTCGTCTCTGTTCGCTTGTTGTCAATTCTTGTCTCCGTTCTTCCTTCTGTTATCGGTCGTCGTCTTCGGTCTTGTACTTTCGGTACTTGTTTCCTGTTCCGTTAAGGTCTTCTCTTGTTTCTATCGTTGCCGTCATCCTGTGTCTATGTCCTGGTTTTGTCAGTCTTGTAGTCATTTATTCGTTCAGTGGAGTAGCGGGGAATCGAACTCACGACCCCTTGATTTGTAGGCAGACAGTGTTACCACTGCACCATAGCGCCCGCTCTGAATAATAACCATTTTTGAAAATCCTTTATACATTAAATACTATTTCAATGGCTAACAAAGGGTGTATTACAATTATATTTTAACACCTCTATTATGTAGCCAACCCACGTGACTTTTATATATGGTCAAAGAAAATATTACTCCATTTTTAACAAGTAGTATATAACTTTGCTGTTACTTTAAGATATACTGGAAATTTATTGGAGGGTACCCGGAATTCTAATGTATAATCTTCTTGTACCGTGACTGAATTCCAAAATTTTCGAGAGCTGCGATGGCATAGTAAGCACACGTAGCAATATCCCGGTTTCAGACATTTTATGACTCGATGAAAATATGGTGTTGTTATTGTTGTTGTTGTTTCTAACTTTAACTTTCAAATTAAATAGTAACTTATTTGTAAACAAGATGGTAAACATTTGTTGTTTTCTGTATTTTTGTTAAGAATGTGATAAAGTTTAAGATGACTTTTTAACATTAACGATTATCCATCGTATACCTGAATGCAGTTATAATTGAATCTAAAAAATGAATTATGCAGCTATTATTTTTGGCAGAAAACAACAAATACAAACAAAACAACACACAAAAACCTACATGCAGCATACATGTGTAATGTTCACAATGTGCTCTTTATTAATTTCAACATTTCAGCAAGTGACACATTTTATAAAAGAATGGGACAGAAATGTTATTTAAAAAGTAGGTTGGATATTTTTTAACCTAGTTTGCTCAACACTCAATTATCACATTTTTATATATAAACCTGAGGTACAGAAAATTGACAGAAAACAACTTTCATAGATTGAGATAGAGCCAAGATGTCGTAGATATTTGGGTTACAAAAGGAGTTTTTCATCCTGATAATGTTTTAAGAAGGATAAACATATTACAAGCTTAAATTCTTAAAATTTTGTACTGCCTTAATTTTTTTTAAATACTTGCAATTATGTAATTATTATGTTTTTAGTTAGTTTCTAGAGAAAAGGCTTAACAAAGGTGGTATCTTTTATTTTATAGATAAATTTTATAATGTGTCACATGTCGCCTTGAAAAAAGAATTTGTAATGGTTTTGCGCATACTTAATCCAGCTTTTGCATGTTGGAACATATGTTTGTATACACAGCCTCATTGCTTATTTTGTATAGTCTTATTTTATTGACCTGTCAATTATGAATACATTACTGCACTAATTGAAATATAAGATCACACTTCGGTTTCGTTGGTAATGTTTACGATAATTAATATGGAGTATATAGAGGGCATTTGTTTGTTTGTGCGTAAGATGAAATTTTATTTCATCGAGTGGACTTTAAAAACAGTATTCCCACGAGTGGCGTGGCCACGAGTGAGAATACTGTTTTTAAAGTTCACGAAAAAGTTTATTTTTTACAACACTTTTTGTGTCGGTTTGTGTTGTGTTTATGGCATTGAAATGACATTTTTTGACATTTCAAAATAATTTTTAAATATTCATTTTAAACCATAAATACCATAATAAGTGCAAAATATATGAAAACAAAATGAACAACTTAAAAAAAAATCATAGCTACAAATAATGTTGAAAATTAAGGAACACCTGGCGTGACATTTTCCACAGTTTCTTCCTGAATTGAATTCGTTTTTTCGAGATAATAATTCCCAATTAGAAATATTATTTCGTTTTAACGAAAAATAAAATCTTAATTACGAAATATTGATTCGTTATTACGAAATATTATTCCGGAATTACGTATATTAATTCGTTATTACGAAATATTATTTCGTAATTACGAAATAATAATTTGTTATTACGAAATATTTATTCTTTGGTAATATTTATAAACTAAGTTTATTGTTAAATATAAGTCAAGTAAACAAAACATTAAAAGTGATTTTTTTTTCAATCTTAGTCTTATACTATAACGCGCTAGTAAAACAGTACTGTATATACTGTTAATTGGGCCATTAGACTTATAATCGCTATATTTGGTGGCCAATCTCATTAAAATCCGATCATATTGAATAATCATTTGATTTTGACAAGAATAATTAATTGCATCATATTGTATCATAGTTTAAATGACCTATTATAGTATTTTTAAGCAGCCATTTTGAATTGACCTTTTGAAGGTCAGGGTCAAGTTTATTTTCTTGGTATCCACCCTCATCGTCTTCAGCATACCAGTATTAGGTTAAAACACTCAAGATATTACTTGTACTATAAAATGCCTCCAGCATTCATATTTTCTTAAAATCAGTCTTGTCTATAAGTGATAAAGTACTTTCATAATATGTTTTGAAATAACTACTGGTTTAAACTTTGGGTAAGGCAATTAATTCAGGTATAATGCCGTCTTTCACGAGCAACATACGCCCCGTTTCTCGTAAATATAGTATAAATGTCATCATTTTGTTACTTGTGTTTTTCTATTAAAATTTATTCAAATGTTTTAATAACCCTCGATAGAAATGAAAAGGAAAGTTCAAAAGTTGAAATTGCAAACCTTTAGCATCGCCTTATGCTGATTTAAATTTTCAGTGTAATATGCTATTGAAAATAATGATCACGAAGGACGAGAAAAATATAACAATTCCGAAGTGAAATTCGAGACAACATTTTACGGCTGTCATACAGGACACGACACCGGTTGTTTTGACTATAAACATTTGGAAAAGGAGATATTCTCTGAGTGCAATGCTACATAGAAAGTATTTAAGTGTAAAGCTTTTACGGTATAGGTATGTAAATAGAGAAAATAAGAGTCCAAATTGAACGTCCAATACGGCAGAATAAAAAATGTTGAGGATTCGGTTAACCTCGATTGGACTTACTTTTGCCACTCCCAGATTTAGCTTAGGTCAATGTCACTTTTACTAAAATCGTATTCTGGAGGAAAAGAGTATAATTAATGGATACATTTTAGTCTCATTGTATTGCAATAAATTGCCCGGGAAATGAATAAATCAAACACAGAGAGAGCGTTCTGTGTTACACAATATTTCCTCGGCTTTTTTGTGTAATTTTCTATTGAATGGAGTGTCGTGTAGTTTTAATTTCAATCTATGTTCAGAATATTCTAAATGTCATAAAAAAGGTATATGCTGCTAAAAGGCTGTTGATACGCTATGCATTTTACAAAAATACAAAATCTGAGTGGCAAGTCTTTGTGTGCATTATTGTGACTTAATGTTTACTGTTCACAACAACCAATTATGTCGAAGAAACTATATGTGTTCTTATAAAACATAATTAAAAGATCATGTTTATAATCCAATTTGTCCATTCATATTTACTTTAATATGCCTGATTCTACAGAACCTTTTTTAACCTTCTTATATACTAATAATAGTCGTTTTAAAGACATAAGTAGTTTAATTAGATAATAATAGTCTATTGATATTAATGCGATGTTATGTATTTTATTTGTTTACTGATAAAGTTTTATGAAGTTAAATATGTAAACTATGTACATTGATAGGAATTAAGTAAAAAATAATCTATGATAATATCCGCGCTCAAAGAAACGAAGTGTCAGTGGTCTTCTTAATTTTTGTTTGTTTTTAAAACATAAATAAACTTAGCCTGCCTTATCTTATAGAACAAGAAGAAATACTGTTTTAAAGTAAATGTTTTATCAAGATTGATCTTAGTAACAATATATATGTAATCATAGCAAGTTAACATTCTTTTCCAACACTAAGTTTCAACCAAACACAAAAAGTTAATGGTTAGCTGTTAGCCTTTTTTAATTCGACATTTGCAATTCTGATTTACACCAATGGTTTGTAAATTTAAATGAATGCACTGTTGTTTCGTCAATATCAACATAAAGTAATAAAAACAAAATAATATAGAATAATAAAATGCAAATATACTTTAAACATAGTAACAAATTCAGTGTGCCTGACACGACTTTAGCTGCATCATTGTCATTAATCATAAACCTTCATTAGAGGAAGTGAGGGTCAAACTAATATATCCTCAATAAAACTTGACATACTTTATTCTGAACAGATCAGACAGCCTATCACCTTATTTATAATATACTTAGTCAGTCTTAACATAATACGTGCACAACATTAATGTCAACAATAAATAATAAAATTTAAATAATAAGCCATCATTAATTAATAGTCCTTACATATGATAAATATCAAAATGCATGGTTATATAAAATACTCTTAACATTAATTAATCTATCAATAGTAATAAATATGATTCATCACTGAAAACAAGATAAAAAGGCTGTCTTTTTTCTACTGCACTATATTCTGACAGTAACTTACACTGGAAACTACTTCCAATCTTTAAAGTTTGTTTACACTATTTCGTGATATCTCAGGTGTTAGTTAAAAAATATGAATACAAAGTTGATTATTGTGAGCATATGTCTTTTGAACTTTGTAGTTGTTATATTAGCTGATCCTGATGACATTGTAGAGGACACATACAGCAACCTGGGTGAGTCTTACGTTTTCTTCTCTTTATTTTTAAATGATTCAAACTGTTTAAAATTCCTGTCGTTTAGTAAGACTTTTTCGGTACATCAAATATTTTTGCCTTGCACTAGTCTCGGTTTCAGAACAGTTAAAAAGGCCGATATCATCCTTAGTTAGCAGTTTATTGTAAGGTTAAACTGATATGACAGCTCAATCAAACCGAGACTGCAACATTTTATTTTATTCCGTTCTGGCCTTTCTTTAGGGATTCCGCTTTTTTCTCTATCTAAAATAATAAAATATGTTAAAACGTGCAGTTTTGTTATATACTTATTTACTTGTTAACAGCTATGGAAGTAATAAAGGAAATATCTATTTCTATATAAATTACTATCATTTCAAGGAAACAATTAGGATTTTATAGACAGGTTTACTTAATTGTTTTTAAGATTCATTTGAAGGTTTTAAACTATCTCTAGTGCAATATATCATAATAACCGATGTTCATGTTTAAACAAACATATGTCAGAACAAAAGCAATCAAATAGCTATTAAAATGTAAAGAGTGTAACGATGCATTCATTCATCAATAATTATAATGTTGCACTGAAAGTGCAAGCAAGACGATATATATTAAATTTTAATGCTCTATCAGTAAAAATGAAGGCTCAGAAAATATCAAAATGGTTGGTCACATGAATTTACATTATTGTATCGGAAATTTAAAAATCTAATTTATTATCTGTGTAATGATAATTGTGACCTTGATTATGTTTCCGCCGATTTATAATACATGTGTTAATATGGTAAATGCATAATTAATTTCTATTTCTATGAATCAATCTATTATTAAAATAAACTGTATATCTTAATTTCAACTTTTCTGTTACAGTTACTCTAAAAATGATAAGGCTTTGTCGCCAGCTGAAAGGTGGAATGAGGAGCTACTGTTTGATACAAGTGATGAATCGACTAGGATATGATGTCAACATGCCAACATTCAACGATATAGTGCCCTCGTATTAACAGAAATATAATGAAGAAGAAAATAAAAACTGCTTAATATGTACTCGGTGTTTTTTCACATTTAAGTGCCTGTTAAATGTTTAAGTTTTTTTTTACATTATGAAAATTAAACTTTAACTAAACTTAAAGAAATTTTGCTTCTTAATGTATAAAATATTTATTGAATCAATACAATTTAGACAAGACACTTTCTAGTTGCCATGTTGTCTGTTATTTTTGTTATTTAAAACAGAAAATGTTGTTATATGATTTGCAAATCGATATTTAAATACACGTACATGTTTGTTAAATATCTTATACATCGTTATTTTGTGTTGTTTTATTTTCTCCACCGAAATAGAAAATTCATTTGAAATAGCTTCTATACCGTTTAATTTCATATATTTTGCTGCAGCGATTTGTGATTGACGATTCATTTACACATGGAAATGCTTCACCATTTTCATGTTAAGCTTAACTCGGTGGAAGGGTGTTTGTATAAAGTCAAAGTCAAAATATCTTTATTTTTCATCAGTTCACAAAAAGTGACAACATGATACATTCCAAAAATTATGAAACAATTAAATTCGGGTAAAAAATAGGACAAAGTAGGCTAGCAAAGATCACATTTTAAAAAAAGTGAAGATCCTTTCATAAAGAAAAGGAAAAGTTGATTTAAAGTTTCTGTTTTTGTATATAACTTCAGGCTACGAGAAAGTGTGAGAAAATTATTATATTCCAATATGACAAATTGATTCAAAAATGATAAAATAAAAAACTTATAGGCGGAGAAAAGTTGATTTAAACGAAGTTAATGTACACCAAACGATTTTTATTATTATCTCAATTTGTCTTGATATGTCGATTAGGTTTTTGTAAAGTAAGGCAACGCTCCTATTTTTATATTTACAAACTAATGCGCGTGTAGTCTGTGACCTATATCCGCGTGACATACCCAGTCTGAACAAAAAATAATGAGCCGCGTCACGACAAAACCAACACAATGGGCCCGCGACCAGCATGGATCCAGACCAGCCCGCGCACCCGCGCAGTCCGACCAGGACCCACGCTGCTCGCTAACAGTTTCTCTACCTGTAATAGGGTTTGTAAGCGCAGGCCGGTCCGGATCCATGCCGGCCGCAAAACCCACCACGTTGGCCCCGTCGCGACACGGCTAAAATGATCTCTATTAAGTAACGCGGAATCGGAATCTTTCGCTTGAGTAATTTTAATTGTAAACGTTGTAAGACGGTATGTTTACATAAGGCGAGACGGAATTTTTTCTATCTTTTTTTTTTTGAAATTAAGTTTCAAAAAGCTGTGGCACCAGTATCTCTTTACTTTTTGAAAAGGCGCTAGTAAGGTTTGACTATCGAATAAGATTAAAGTATGTTATGACTTTTCCGGCCATTATGGCTAATGGTGTCAAGATTGTTTCTGAATCTGAGGAAAATAATTCTGCGAACTTAATCACGTTTGGATGCCTATAGAAGTATGGCTTAATAAATCGCTTTCTTTCACTATCAAAAAGTGGACAGCGGAGGATATAGTGAAAAATATCACCAATATCGCACTGTGTGCAAAAAGGACATTTCCTTTGATCGTACGGAATTTTTGGATTTGGCCATGACCCAGTTTCAATAGGGAGCCTGTTATTTCCTGATCTTAAATGGAATAAATTTAAACGAAGATTTTGGGGTAAGATTTTAAAGTAGTTTTCAAATTTTAATTCTCTTTTAAATAACTTATAATTTGAACAATTAACTGATTGTAGCATTGGACCGTGCCATTTCTAGATAAACTGGTCTGTCAGTGTATGTTTAACTAAATGATTTATATTTTTTAAGTTTACAGTCTTTTGGTTAAGCCAAATATAGGTATATCCCGTGGAATCTAATATTGATTTAACTGTATCGATGCACTTAAAACTTGAATTTGAGTGGAGCATAATTATATTCATAGCATTTTCTCGCGATCTTTTCTGTTTTTCCTGCTAAGAGTTTGCACCAAAATTCAATAATTCGTGACTTTATTACAATTTCTAGTGGAACTCTCCCCAAGTCCCCATATAGAAAGGAAAGCGGGGTGCTTCGTTTACTTATAGTATCTTGAACTTACCACTACCGTCAATAACTAAACTTTACCTTTACCGTCCAATTCATTTATAAAAAAAATCAGGTTTTTATGGAAAGCCATTCTGCCATGCGAATTGCTATTTGCGAATTGCTATTTGCGAAATGACAAATGCGAAATGATATTTGCTAATGATAAATGCAAAATGCTCAATGTTATTTCAGATCAATTTCCACCATTAATTCATATCGCTGTCTTCCAAGAAGGTAGGTAGTAAACAGATATTTGCGAAGTAAAAACAAGATAAACAGTAATAAAGAATATTTTACACATGTTTGGGTTTTTAAGCTTTAATTAAGGCGTGTTGAAGGATAATATCTACGACAGTATCCTCAAAGTACTTAATGCAGGGGGTACTTTGTACCAGGAATATGACCAGATATTACAAATAATATTTACATAATAATATTTACATAAGAAATTTCTTTTGATTGCAGTGTTTTTCCTATTAATTTTATACAAAATATGGCATATTTTGAGGAAAATTAAAGTTTTATTTACCATATTCACATAAATGTAACCAGTGGTTTTGCTAACGATTTGGACCCAATATGACATTTTAAATGTGTGTGCCAATGCTTATCAAATGTTTATCCTTTTACTGTGTGATAAATATTGAATAGAACTTTAGTATCATAAGCAGTAAATGACCATTTATATATGTTTTTAACTTTTTTTATCAATTATTGTTTAAAAGCCATTTCCGGTATTTCGCTTGTATATAGTGTAAATAGTTATTAAAATTAATAAATATCCAAGCTACAGTTTTAAATACTTTTTATATGAAAATGTCTGTAATAGATTGTGCTTTGTGCATATTTAATCATCTCAAAATAACCAAAATGTCACAAATTGTTGGAAATTCCATGAGACGCTCCATTCTAAGGAAACATTTGCTTTCTATTTACTTGCTTGCTAATATAAATAATTATACTCTTTCAAACCATTTTATAGGTAGTGCTCCTACTTTAGAAGAACTTAAATGGAAACTCCTCTCCTTAAAAGCATCAAGAAAGATGACAACAAGTTCTCTAGCAGAAAATGAAGGTATGATTTTTAGCTCTAAGAATATTTCAAGATATTGTACTCTACCTGGTGTCGGCAATCGCGTCAGCTTCACAGCTTGGTTAATTTTTGCGGGCAAGTACAGTAGCCGAAAACTGAAGATAGAAGACTGGGTTTGATTTAGACTATTCATTGACATTAATGGTAATAAACACTGCCATTGCCCTGTAGCAAGTAACTATAAATACTTACTGTTATTGTTTCGTATTGCAGGCTGATGAGTACTTGATACACTGTGGGGCGAATGAGAACAGAGCTGCTGGAGCTTAAGTTGATGCGCTCTATAAAACACAAAGTATTAAAACAGCACTTAGGTTGTAATGATGACTATGAAACTGTGAGAAACAGACTGCTAGTAGAATTTTAACTTCATGATAAATGTTAGAATGAGGGTTATATAGTCATTTTAAGTATGGTGGACGAGGTGGTTGATGAAGATAATTTTTCTGTTTTTAACTACATTCAACACAATAAGAAGTATGTTGGAGCCACAAGATTATACATGGGTATGCAAAACAAACCACTGATGTACTTCAGTGACTCTGAGGAAAAAGTGTGTCCAGCTGAAATGTCAGCAAAACGAAGCAAACCGGGAAATATAGGTTGAGCTAATGCGTCATCGGAGCAAAGTGTGTCAAGTGAATTCAAGGACTTGATAAGTAGAGGTGATAATTTAGAATCAGTAGATCGATTACGTCGATGCTAATAAGTTCTGTCCAGTTTATGCCACCGATCCAAAAAATAGTCTGTTACTGTAAAGAAATGTGATGTGACTTGCTGGAATCTTATGCCAGGACTTAAATAAAATGATGGTCATTAAAGTAATGGAGCATTTTTAACTTCTTTGTTTCAATGTTAGCTTTTTCTAATGTAACTAGTTTCAAATATTTAAACTTTTTTAAACTGATATTTTAAATTTTGATTGTATCTCTGTCAAAATCTCTAATATAGTGACAATTTTAAATATTTGAGCTTTGGCTGTAATACGACCAGCTCTTGTTTTAATTCTGTTCAATAATACAAAAGAAATCATTTCAAAAGTTTGCTTTAGTTTTTTTCTTCAGGAAAATCAATTGCACTGCCCTCTAAAGGTCCCTTCATATCTAGTTTTCTTTTTTATTTATTTACATGTTGAATATTTTAGAGTCATATTAAATAAATATGTAAGAAAATTAACACTTTCATAGTCCTTTCTTTCAAGACATTTTGTAAGACGAAAATAAATTTGTTTAAAATTTTGGGGATTCATATAACAATAATTTATAATGTTAGTCTATTATACTATATTATACTAGTACATGTTCTTCACCTCTTATTGTATGTACCAAAATGGCAATGGTGTGGAGTTTCCCTATACTAGAATGAGTTGTTGTGTACCTGGATTTTGTTCAATTAATGAAGTTGTCTGATTATCTGGCTTTTATTATTACTCAGTTTGAAATATTTAAGAATTATTTACGCCATTTTTACCGTATAAACTGGATAAAGTTAACTTGCAACCTGATGGACAGAATATTGACTTTTATGAATGAAACTTTTAAATAATAGAAAAAGAAATGAAGTTGTTTTTTCAGTATTATATATGCCAAAACAACAATATGATGCTAATGTATGTTTTCCCTTGAATGAGTCCGAATAAGTACAGGGTTCAACTTCGTTGTCCGTCTGTCTGTCCGTCCGTTTGTCCGTCCGTCACACTTTTGTGTCCGCTCCACAACTCTACTATTAGAGGTATCCACTTGAAACTTAATAGGAAGCTATATCACATGAAAAAGTGCAGTGCAAAAGAACCATAACTCTCCCTTTCATAGTTTATGAGTTATTGCCCTTTGTAAATTTATATACTAAATTCTTGTCCGGGCTATATCAAAAAATATAATAGATATCAATTTGTAACTTTGTAGGTAGATTAATTACATATATGTGAAGCGTATTACACAAGAACCATAACTCTTTTTTTTCATAGATTAAGAGTTATTACCATTTGTAAATTTCAATAGTTAATACATGTCCGGGCCATATCTCAGATAGGTCAACAAGGTATAATTTACGTAACTCTGATAATACTGCTGGAATATATGCGCGAACTTCTTTATACTACAACTCCTTTCTTCCCTCTACTATACGCGA